TGTCCTGGGAAACACTGTTCGACTGATGGGAAAAGACATATTAGTTAAAACAGATAAGCAAAGCTTTTGTAAGGTGAGAATTGAAGCACACAATGTAGTGTTTGCAGTAGTGTGTGCGCGCACGCGCGTGCACGTGCATGCATTTTAACTATTTCAGGATGAATTTGCCATGTGTTTGCTATTTCATCTGGCCTGTTAGTTTTACTGCTCACCAGTCTAGCCCTAGTAGATGACGTATAAAATTAAAAGAAATAAGGGTATAAGTCATTTGACTTAGATGGTTTCAGTGGTTGTTTTTTGCTTTTTGTTGTTTTGCATGTGTGTGCATGTGTGTGTGGTGGCTGTTCAGTACAGGGATTGAACCCTGTACCTTTGTGTTACCAACACCAAGTTCTAACCAGCAGAACTAACTGCAGCCCTTGGTGTTCTTAATATAGAAAGGGGCGGGGCATTGAAAGAGAGGTGAGCTAGAGTGAGTTTGTGATGGAAGCAGATCTAAGGAAAACACTGAACTGCGATCTGAAGTCTCGATTCTAGGTCTAGTTCTAGTTCAGTCACTCACTACTTCATCTGTATGCCTTAGGTTTTTACTTTTCTCTAAAATGGGAGTGTTGTTCTAAGAATCTCTAACTTTTAAATTTAATGATTCTACTTCTCCCAATTGTATGGCTCTAAGTGTCCATATTTGTATAGAAAGTTGAAAATGGAATCAATTATAACAAAAACAATCGAGTCATTTATACTTTACTCCTTCATATATTCAAAAACATTTACTAAGTGAAGCACTATTTCAGAAATATGAAAACTTTGCTTCAGTGTATATGATTTTAAGAATGAAAGGATACTGTTCCTCATTTTGAAAGAGTGATATTTAATGTAATAGTATTTAAAATGAAAGTGATGCTCTTCATTTTTAGGGTATGATGAAACAAATATAATAGAATTCCTCTGTAAAATGGCTTGCTTAGCTTTGGAACTGCAACATTTCAAACCATGTCCCCAAACTGTAATGGCATTCCGTAAGAACTTATTATTCTAAATCAGTTAGCCCCAGAATTATTAAAGGGTTCAACCAGTAATTCCAATCAGAAAGCCCTTTCTCTATGAATTATCTCGTCGTCTTCTTTTTCCAACAGATTCCAGAGGGGTGACTACCACATTGACGTCTGTATCAATGACTACCTGGATGTTTTCTGCCCTCACTATGAGGACTCCGTCCCAGAAGATAAAACTGAGCGCTATATCCTCTACATGGTGAACTTTGATGGCTACAGTGCCTGCGATCATACTTCCAAAGGGTTCAAGAGATGGGAATGTAACCGGCCTCACTCTCCAAATGGACCACTGAAGTTCTCTGAAAAATTCCAGCTCTTCACTCCCTTTTCTCTAGGATTTGAATTCAGGCCAGGCCGAGAATATTTCTACATCTGTGAGTATATAGAGATTTATCATATTATAGGCGGCTGCAAGAACCCAGACTAATTTTTTACCCATGTTTCAGAGAATTGCAGAGAGCCAGACTTCACGTTACAGATATTTCCTTGTAAACGCACACATCAGGATCCCTAGGTACATTAGCTGGAAATTGAGAGCACAAATTAGATTAAAGACACGGTGCCTCTCGCCATATGAAATTGTATGTCAGCCTGTTCAGTGGACCACTGCTGACTTGTATTTCTTTTAAATGAAAATTGCCAGTACTTCTCCAAAGCTCGGGAAAAGAAAAAAAGATTCCTGAAAAAAATTAAAGAAAATAATTAAATTTACATAGCTTGGTGTCATTGGATTTCTTATTCAGGTGTCAGCAGTATCTTTTCAATCATCCACATTTTCAGTGGAAAAAGCCAAAACTCCTGCAAATGTCAGCATGCTGACGGTAAATATTCTCTATGCACCAAGGAGAAAAGACAATTATTAAGAGCAGCTGCATCTTTAAACAGGAAAGCGTGTGAAGAAGTATCTAGAAAGGGTTTCAAGGGAACTGGTATGAGTGAGTTTCCTACCTGTGAGCATTGAATTGACTGTGTCCTGAGAGAGCTCTACAAGTTTCTCAGGAGACTTCTGTACTAATCCCAACGCCATGGCCTTGTTTATTCTCTATTGTGTATACTATCACTTCTTCAGCATTGTACTATCCTGTATTATTTGTAAATGTTTCTCAAACCTCACTGTGTGTAAGAGTCATCTGGGGATCTTGCCGTAATGCAGATTCTGACTCAGACGGTCTGAGGTGGGGCCTGAGAGTCTGGACGTGTAAAGCTGATGATTCTGGTGCTGTTGATCTACAACGGCCTGCACTTTGAGTAGCAAGTCATAGGTAATATCTACTTTAGGTAGCTTGCTGTGTATCTGGACTTTCCTTTAACTTATGTCAAATATTTAAACTATCTGGCCTTTCGCATATATTTTCACTGCTAACTGAAAAAGTTAAAAGTTTATTTGCTCAAAAGTACATTTATTGAACAACTTATCTTGGTTCAGAAATGTTGGGGGACAGAAGATGAAGAGACTTTCCCTGTCCTTAGGCAGTGACCTTCTAGTGGGGAGCAGACAGGTACATAGGCCATTAAAGTATCAATAAACAACTGCTGAATGAAAATAAATGCAAGGAGTAGTGGGCACACTGGGGAAGTTGTACTCCACCTGCTTTGCAGATTCAGGAAGCACACCTGCACGAGTGTGTGGAGACGCACGTAATAGCACCCAGTAAGCCTGGCGTTGACTTCTCACCCCAGCTTGCCAGACAAACAAGATAGAGAACATTCCTGGTTTTCTGAATTATTTCTTCAGTCTGAATGTCCATACCCACTCATAACCCACAGTTTTTAAGTCTACAAGGATTTATAGCTCCTCTTCTTCTCCAGAAAACAGAATTTTATAATAAGTAGGATTTCACCATCACAAGGGCATTCTCATTTATATTGAAATCGAATTTAAAAACAAAATTGAACAGTACCATTTTTTAAAATTTCAGTACATATTTCAGTTGTTAGTCATGAGAAAACATGTAAAAGCCTTGATACTATCTTACATTTGGTCCATAAAATACGAAAAGGAATATTGAGTCCCCCAGATGCAGGAAACAGTGGCATACAGTGAATTGACGTGTTCTCAGGCAGCATGTTCTTGCTTTTGCTGATTTTTTACTTTGTGAAAGAATCTCATTCAGCAAATGAGAAAAAGCAAAGAGGAAACCTTCAGTTGTGGGACAGCATCTCATTTATTGCCTAGCTGTAAAATACTATACCAATGTAAGAGGAAGTGATTGCCAGTTACAAAATTTTCTTATCAGCATCTCAGATTAGAAAACAACAAAAAAAGAAACCCAAAAATGAATAGAGATCACCAAGATGGAAAACATACCCACCAGCTAACTAGTTGATTGCATGATTATTAGAAATTATAGAATCCATTGAAGTTCATAAGCAAGATGTTATTACTCAAATATACCCTTAGTGCTTATGACTGGTTTTTCCTCATTTGTGGTTAAATTCAATATTTCACTAAAAATCATTATGTGTCTTCTATAACATTCATTTAATGGAGTCATTTAACTGTCAAGGGCTCCTGTCAAAGTAATTGTTCCAAAATGCTTCAAAATATCAGGAGCTTTTTGGCTGTTCAGCTGAGTTTAACCTGAATTACTTTTTTTAATGAAAGGTAAAATAGCACAAAATTAGCAGCAAAGAGAGATGTTCATTTACAAGAAGCACAGTGGCCTGGTGTTTAGCTAAATTGAATTTTCAGCCATGTTTTTGCCCCACAAAGCATCCTTTGCTGTCTTTTTAGGTTTTTTCCTTTTCACTGCTGAGAGCAGAAGCAGCAGAGGTGATGTGGATGTCTTACAGATGTTTAATGTATTGTGGTCATGATTAAACTAGAGGATTCTTAGGGGAGAATTGGCCCTCAGTTGAATTTTCCTCTCTCCTGATGTGCGTGGAATGAAGATGATTGGGAAGTGGCTATTTTCACACTTACTACGTTACAAGAAGCTCTGTTGCCAATCTTAGGAACAAGCTTGACCTCACACTGGTCAATTTTATAAAATGCTCTTGCTAGGACAGGAGAACATTTCAGCTCCTTACAGCCTTAAAATCTCCTCTAACTTTTCATGACAAAAAAGAAAAAATGAAGCTGTAGCCTTTTGGCTGTCCTGCTTTCTAGTGCTAGGGGCAGGCTTAAGTTTAGTGGTGTCTGTTGAGTGCCAGAATTCAGATACAAACACCGTAGCGGGGAAGGAAGACAAGTATTTATAACAAGATTTCACCTCATTACTTAGACTCAGGACACAGATCAGAGGATTCTTAAGTTCTGCTTTATCCTCGATGAGATTTCTCTTTCATAATTTTTTTGTTGTGCAAAATTAAGAATGGTGAGCTAAACAGCCAAGGGGGAGGACATTAAGAAAATGCAATATTTGGAAATATATAAAAAGTTTCCAAATTACTTTAAAAATAAAATATCATTCACAGTTCTAGATCCTTTGTTTGTCACAAGAGCAACTCTATGCTATGTACTCCTTTACTTGGGAATAGACAGTATATTTGTTATAATCGCTGATTATTGCTGAGAGACCAGATCATTCCTGAATGTGACAAATACTGTTTTTAATCTAAAGGAGTTATTTTGGTAGGAGAGTGGCATACTAAAGTGATTACAGAAAGTCAATAGTATTTCTATCAGTGATAGATTTACAGAACTGCCAGTCAATCGATTAAGGCAATAGTCATTTATATAGACTTCCTAAAAGGAAGAGTAATTTTAGAAACTTCAAAAATACTCACTTTAGAAAAGATTCTCATAAATCTTAGCCTAATGAGAACATGTTTGAAAGAAGTTTTGCTGCTGTTACTTTTAAGTCAGAAGAGGTAAAGGGAAATCATTTAAATAAGGGCACTGTAAGTTATTTTTCTAACTCCATAAAACACTGCTTTTGAATATACCCTTTTGTAAAGTAAGGAAACTGAGTCCTAAGCCATTCTCTTGACCTAACTAGCTATATGATCTTGGGTAAATCATTTAATCTCTCTGAAGTTGTAACTCCACACTTACAACATAACCTACTTGTAGTCAATGATTTCAGAAATCTCTTGGAGCTTTAATGTCCTAATCTTATTTTTTATCTGAGGGTCTGACACATTAGGGTAAGAGATGACATCTGTCTGATGGCCCAGCCCAGCACCTTGCTTAGGAGGTGTTAAATAAATGCCAGGTGAAGAGGAATTTTTAGGGACAAGGCAGAGTGGAGAGGGTATTAGAACTATTGAACTAGTTCTAGTTCTCTCGCTCCATCCTGTCCAAGCCAACATTGTCTGCGGTCTCCACCAGCACAGCAGGCTCCCGTCTCTTTGCCTCGCTCATGCCACTGCTCTGACAAAGCCCTCCAGTGACTTCCTATCTCACCAAGACGAAAATTCAAGTTTCTAACCAGGCCAGCAATGTCCTCGTTGGCTGTACTCCTCCCACGCCCCCCACCCCGGCCTCTCTGACCTCTCCCTCTGCTCTCTGCCTTCCTCTCTCTGCTCCAGACCCTGCCCTCCTTCGTGTTCCTCAGACTTTTCTCCAGCACACCCCCAGGCAGGGGTTCTCGTAGCCCCAGGCATTCATGACCCTCTCTCTCACTTTCTTTAGATGTATGCTCAAAAATGTCTTCATCAGAGAGGCTATTCTCACCTCCCTACATAAAAATAATTCCTTCTTTATCATCCTCTGCACTTTTACTCTGCTTTGCTTTTCCTCGGGCACTTATCACCCCTGACAATATGTACCTATGGTTGGTTGTTCACAGCTGTTTCTGCTCTATGCCATGTATCATTTTGCTTGGCACATAGTAGATGTTCAATAAATAAGGGTAACTAGTGTTTACATAGCACCTCTCTGTTCCAGGCACTGTTATAAACACCCTACAATTCTTAAAACAGCACTGTGAAGTACTATTCTTTTTTCTCATTTTATGGCTGGAGAAATTGAGGCACAGAAAAGGTTACGTAACTCTAAAAAGGTTCACAGAGCTGAGAAGTGGTTGATCTGGGAGGAAATAATCAAGTGAGCAGCTAAAAGAAGTGAAGAGATAAAGCCCTAGGTCTCATATACTTGAAAAGGAAAAACACACAGTATATTAAAAAAATAAAAATTAAAAAAAAAAGATTAGGATCAAATAGCACTTTGATATCTACTGATTAGAGAATACTTCTTCCTAGAAACCCCAAGTCAGATGGTGGAAAGATAAATTTTAAATACATGTATGCATTTTCAGCTCTCCAAAGGATACTTTTTCATCTCCAGAAGATATTTCAACTGTATCTGCCCACATGGTTGACCCTTTTAACCTAAATCACTTCAGAAGCCAGAAAAGTTGTACTTTCTAAGAAATTCTTCTTAATATTACTGAATATTTAACATCCAGACTGAATCATGATTGCACACTTG